CCCTGGACAGTATTGTTAAGAGATTAGTCTTTTATGTAAACTGTCATTGCTTGTTAGTCTTAGGACACGTGGCCACTTAAAACTTCTTTGGAAGGGAATTGACACTGACATTCAATAAAAAAGCCCAGATAAAGGACAAAATCAGGTGATGGAAAGAGATTTTTGGGGGGATCAGAGATGTTATGCAACAATCAAGGTGGTGCTTCCCTTGCTTAAATTGTAGTTAATACTCTAATGTGCACGTTTAACAATACAATTTGTGTGTATCTATAGTGAAGTTAAGAAAGCGTGATAAAATGACATATTTAAAAACCTCAAACGAACTAAAACAATGTGAAAAACTTGATAGATGTTTGTTTCATGTAATTTGAGGAAGGTTACAGTCTCCTTATCTTACCACACATATCTGATGCTTTCGTCTGCTGCAATTTTGTGTCTCTCTAGTACAGTGAAAGTTTCAGTCACATGCTTCATGTACGTCATGGTTTATTCACTAAGCCTGTTTCTATTGCACTCTGTCACATTTTGCTTTTGCCAACATTTTCATCTTAGCCAAGCACAAAACTTTATTGCAAAATTGTGACCTTTTTTCACATTTCCAGCATTTCCACTGGATGGTAAATGGACTGTACTTATATAAAGCGCCTTTCTTGCTGCGGGAGGAGCCGGGGATCGAACCGCAAACCTTCTGATTAGTGGGCGACCCGCTCTTACCTCCTCCTCTGCCACAGCCGCCCCCTGTCAGTTTAAAGTTTACTCACTTAACTGAAATCACAATACCAAGAGCTAGTCTATTATTACTGGAGAAACTAAATGACTAACTATGTGAAAATGTTAATTTCCCCTGTTTTTAGTTTTCTTATTGTAATAGTTTCTGTTTCCTTTATCAATAAAACACACATAAACATACAAATGTGATGTATGTGCACACAAACACGTTCTCACCTGAGCTGCGACTGCAGTTTGCCGGCCTTGGTGATAAAGTCTTCCCAAATAGGGTAGCTGCTCTGTGGGAAAAAAACACACACAAACATAAATTACACAATAATCAGAACTCAGATTTCACTGTTCCCACAGTTATGCAACAGTTCAACCAACATGAGGCCATACTGATGCCTCACCTCACCTGCAGGGCTAAACTGAACTAACTAAGGCTTTCCTATAGGTGTAGCGCAGTTATGTCACAGCTAAATATATGGTTTCCCATCTTTTTCCTGTAGGCCTGAGGAGTTTAAGCAATAGGCTAAACATTTGTTGAAGAGGGTTGTTTCAGTATGAAAAGCATGAGTTTGGGTTAGGTTTGATCTGAACACAGAATAAGTTGTAACAACATATTACTTCAAAACAAACAGCTGGCTTTCATTTTGCTTCTATTTTGTTAAACATTGTTTTATTCTATGTTATATACTGTCATGTCCTGCATGTGTTAGGTTGTAAAATGGGTCACATTTGGAAAGCTCCCCGCACAAAAAGAGCACTAATACTATGGTATAATGAGCGCGGTTCCCGGCGGAACTCTAAATTTACCTAATTCAGGGCCTGGGCTGAAAATAGTTGAAGAGCCTTTTATTGAAACTATCACGGAGAACAAGTGGCCTAATGCATCGAAAAGAGGAGGCTAACATAAGGCAGCACAAGTGATGAATGTAGCATGAGCACATGTTTGCCACTGATGTGCTACTACTGTCAGGGGCCTGAGGAATGTCATGTTATGCTGTCAAACATTACACCCAACAACCAACTCAAACCTAGAGGTAGAGACCTACAGTACCTCTTTTCTTTCTCTCTCCCCAGTCTCCCTTACACCCTTGCATCACTTTTGTTCCAATAAATCTCTGCAGTCTCTGAAGAGGCCACCGCCATCAGCTCTGCCTGCTTTAGAACAGATATCAAACACTCCAGCACCGTGGCAAATGTGCTTTCTCTGCATTTGTCATTATCATTCCCTGTTCCTCTTGTTGACAGCTTCGGCTGGAAATCAAAGTGAGCAGTCCCCCTTTATTTTATGGGTTCACAACCCCATCTGTAGCACTAAAGCATCACAGACAAAACAAATGCACTGAAGCATTTGCATCACTGGTGTTGTCTGGCTGCATAGGTACCTGGCAGTTAAAAGACAGGGGGACCATAACCTACCCAGTCAAGTGAGACATGGGACAACTGAGAAGTGCTGAAGGTCTGAGCAGTATTCATAACAAACTTTCTGACTCCAGATGACCCCCATGGCTGGCCATTTGACCCACACATGTCAAAGCCTTCAGAAGCTAAGGGTAATTTTCTACCCTGACAGCTACATTCCCGGCATTCCTTCAGGCAACTACAACAGCTGGGAAATCTGCTAATTGTCTCATCGGATAAGCTGTAAAACATATCATCAAAATAAGATGCCCTAGTTTGGAGGCTGATGACTGCCCTATTTATTGGCTGCTGCTCCACTTCAAACTGGAACAAACTAAGGTGAAGAAAAATGTTTTTCCAATGGCACAGGAGCTGAGTGGAGTCAGATATAGGACTTTATGGACAATAGCTACCACAAAACCAAATCTGACGTTAGGTTAATAATACCATAAATACTATACTAACGTTAGTTATCATAAGCATCAGTTGTTAATAATATCTATAATAAATGTACTCACTAACGTTACTTCATTCTGTTTATCGACCTCTAGCGTTAAATACACAATAAAAATGTTGGTGTGGGTTTCAGTTGAGTTCAGTTAGTTAACGTCAACGTACCGTTGGTTAACCTAAATTGTTTAACGTTTTCTATTAAAAGGAAACCAACATTTTAACGTTAAAGCTAGCCATATATACTGGTGTTTACGTAAGTTAACTGGTGAGTTGCTGTGCCTCGCTGAACGGCTCATATAATTTGTGTTGCAAAGTAAATTTGGCTTACCTTCATGTCTCCGATAACAGTTTGGAAGAGTCCTCCAAGCGCGCTGCATTCCTTCTCGATAACAGCCTCCATTTTCAGGACCAACTCCAGTGGTCAGTCCCGACTCCGTGAGCCGCTTTCAGTTCGCCACCTCGGCTCTCCAGGAAAACAACACAAAAAAAACTCCCCCAAGAAAAAAAAATATGAACAAAAACGAACAAAACCCCGTGTGTAACAATTTCAGTATTCTGAAATCGACGAGCTACAACTTTTATCTCGCAAAACGTGAAGACTCACAGCTGGGTCCTGCTCTGGTGCACCATTTACTACAAATCAAAAGAAGCTGTTGGGACGAAAGAGAAATTTAAATCCCCCTCTCCCCTCCACGCCGCCCCGCTCATACCCATGGCTGGACCGCGAAAATAATTGTTTGCAGTTTGCTGGTCGAGTGAATGCCCGATGTTCGTCTGGTAACGTTAGTCCGTATCTTGACAGGTAAATGCCGACACTCTACGTGCGTCCTTACTGCCGTCTCCACAGACAGAGTGAGAAAAAAACGAGACTAGAAACAAAGGTCAAGTCCACACGTACAAAGAAAAAACACACTTCCGGTTGATTATTTACCACCAAAATAAAATATATGATTAATGACGGCAATAAAGTCGTACTCGAGAGATCGGTCCCTGTAATTGAACGTCAAGTACATATTTGTTATATGAATTAGCTGTTAATAAAACAAGCGTTTTAATGACATAGCATACCATTTCGTTAAAACCTAAAATTTTGCCATAGAACGTCTTATTTTATTGTGAAGCAAAACTCGAGATACTTCCGGTATTACTCCATGTGCTTGACTGGATGATGCAGAGGTGAGCAGTGGAGCGTAGGGGATGTGTAGTTGTTTGATGTTTCCCATTTGCAGCATTTTACCATACAGAAACATCGTTTAAACAACGGCTGGATATACGGACTAGTCTAAATAAGCAGAAATCAGTTTTTTAAGTATATAAGAAAACGTATATAAGTTTATTTTCTTATTTTTGCTGACATCATAAGTGTTGAGGGTGAATGATAAAAACATAATCTTGTGCCAACAGTATTTTTTTTGCTGACACCAACGTATTGCTGTATATGTATAAACATTGGATAAATATGGAAAAAGTTGAGCAGTTGTAGATAACGGGAGACATCTAGTGGCTGAAATGAAAATTACAACATCACTTCTAACCCCAACAGAAGACACCTGGAGTTTGCTCGAGGTTTCTGCCTCTTAAAAGGAAGTTATGCGAACGTTAATTTCATGCACTTACAAATAATGAATCCATTATTTTAACTGTTTCTAATAAAAAAAAATGTATAGGGCGTAATGGTGTTTATAAATTATAATAACTGTTATTAGCTCTGACCTTTCCGAAAAGACTTTTCAACAGCAAAAAGTTGTGTTGAGATTGAGAATGTGGTCCCAGTCACAGGAAATCTTGAAAATTATTTGGATATAAAGGATGAAGGCATAATCTCACCCAGCCTGCACTGAACTAGTCTTGGCTGAGGTCTATTGTCAGTGGGAATACTCCAAAGATCTCATAAAGCTAAAGGTGTAAGAGGCAGGGCTTTTAGGGGTCAAAACCAGTGAGGTTTCAGCAACACTTGCACTGATAATTAGAGACATCGTGCAACCTTTTGTTGGAAATGATTCTGCCTTGGACACTGTTGTTAACCAGTTCCTGTACACATGCTGCGCTTGCTCTCATAAAACCCTTATGTGTTGAGCTTGACATTTTCTGACTTTGGCGACTCTTAGTGGTGACAGACAACAATGCACCCTGGAATGACACAATGACGAGACCTTTGTTTTTTTTCAAAACCTTTATTTATGTAGTTCTAAAATGCATTTTTAATGTCAAAAACATAAGATTTCAAAAACAATTTTTAAATTTTTAAATTAATAACTTTTAATAGCCTAATGCAAACAAAAATATACAGTTAATATAACTAACGCACAGAAGCAAGTAAGACAGTTACTGATTTGGCAATTTTACGATGCATCAACACAATCAAACACTAAAAACACACTATTTTACATACTCAAATGATTCATAAGTAGATAAAGATTACTCAGAAATATAGTAGCTGACAAAATATTTTTTTATTGATGATCAGATTACATTATTAGTTTGTAGTATAACACAAACGACAGATTTATTTAACCCAGGCCTTGGTCAAAAGGTATTTATCAGTAAGTCACTGGAGTTAGTCACATAGGACAGCACTGTTTAAACAGTAACACATATTAATAGCTACAATAATGTGAAAAACAGTTATGCCGGATAGGCCGAGAAAATTTAACAAAAAGTGCTCACAACAAATTCAAATTTAAACTTTGAAATTCATATATCAGATCAACTCACATTTGAAATAGTTTTCACATAAACATGTAATAACAGTCGTGTTAAATCTAGAGTGAGTTTACTGCTCTTTAGCACCAAGGTAACTGGAGGACAGTGAAAACAATCATGTTGCTTTTTAGGGTCTTAATTGCACCATCACATTAATGTTCTGTTATGCAAAACCTGTCAGCAGCATACATAGGCTCGTTTTTGTGGTAATGGAAATGGAAAATATGCCCTCCAATATGGATATGATTCAGAAAATGGGGAAATACTTCATGATATGTATGATAAACAAAGGGGGTGAAAAGAAACATAACCTAAAACTGTCACAATCATCACTTACACTTGGCAAATTGACCCTGTATTGCTTCAGAACATTGTATCATATACAAGGTCCCCTCACAACCTTCCCTAACTTCCCACTTTTTCTTGAGAGCTTAATGAAACAGGGAAGTCATTGGTAAGCAGCAAAATAACTGAGCATCAACTTAAACAGCTATTCTTTAACCCTGACCTCAAAATATGTTATTATTACATTTCTCTAGACCAGACTGAACCTACCTAAAACCAATCCTTTCAATATCTCAGAATAACTGTAGGAATGTTATTGTGCAGAAATCTGTTTCGACTGAAGAAATTTTGTCATCTATATTTTTCCTAATTACAAAGTTTGCACTAAACTAAACTGAATAGCAGAGCTCGCTATGGAGCTCTGGGTGGCGTAGCTGATTGTTTTAATACATGCTAAAGTTATGAAGCAGTTATAAAACTACTTTGTGCTGGTTTTCCTGGGTTTACATCCGCCACCTCTTAAAGCCCATCACCATACTGCAGCCATAGCATAGTGTCACCACAAACGCAAATATCTGCAACAAAAAGGAGAGAAAGCAAAAAACTGTTGGTCAGACCTTTTTTTCAAATGACTTAAACACATCAAAATGTAAAAAATATTACAATTTACAACAGGCATATCACAAGAAGGCTTTCTCATTCTAATCAGCAGCTAAAATATTTATTCATCAAAAGTACAAACGTTTCATAATGTTTAGAAATGGCCTATTTGTTCATTATCAGACAATATAGAATACAAAAACCCAGTACAGCAAATTTGGTAGTACATCTTAGGTCAGCACAGGAGTTTGGGTACATTTTATCAACATAAAACAAGACCTAACCTCATGTAACCTAACATAACCTACTATATTTCTGTCAAAAGGATTGCTGACACTGTTTTATGGCCTGACAGTTCTAGCTGATAGTAGGACTCCACAGGCAAACACACTCACTCTATTAATTTATGGCAACACAGACACATTAACGTTATCAAAAGGTGCATGCAAAAACCTAAACCAAAACAAGACCAAAACCAAAGTTTAAGTCAGTAGGAGGGTTGCTTTGTACATGCTTTGTACAGCCCTGTTACACACTGTGTACAGTGTGTAACAGTATGAATAATGAATAAGCAGCGGGGGGAAACAGCATGTATATATTATCACATGTACTGTAACTCAGTGAATTAAGGGTTTATTTTGACCAAACCAGAGTTGGTGTATTGTTGGAACAGTGAAAAAACTAAGTTTCATTTAGTTTCTGTCAAGTTTGAATGAAATGCGTTTTACTATGAGCTAAACAAACAAAGTAGGTTAAGTGTTTTTTTTTTTAAAGACTTATAGCACTCACCGTGGCCGCAACATTAATACTGTATTGCCTATCGTCCAGGACTGTGAATATATTGCCCCGAGGGTAGGTTATACACATGACAGTCTCAGTGGTGTTAGGCATCGTCTTGATGTAGGCTCCTCCATTAGCTGCTGTAGTTGCTGCCTCCAGAACGAAGGCAGCAAAGTAAAAAAGCAAAGCCATAAAATGGTAAAACACATCCTGAAAAAAAGGAGAGAGAACGCATTAGAAATGAGTACAGAAAGGTAAAAGTGTTTCAAGTGTAAACAACTACAGACATAATGTCAAAATGTGTTTTTAGTAAACTTGCTGAACAACTGTAAGATTCCACAATACAAGACAAAGACTGCAGCAGGTGGGAACAAAGAATGACCAACATGAGTTTTATTCTGTTGGGTAATTATCAGACAATAACTGCGCTGCTCGCTGCAGCTACCTGTAGTCAGGCATTCACATAAAAAACATCTGTTAAAGAACTGACCTTTCACATTAATTGCAAAGGACAACATGGTAGATACAACAAACATGGCAAATAAAAGAGAGAATCAAAAACACATGAGAGTGAAAAGGTTTAAGTGATTTGGAAACCATCATATTAAGAAAGAAAGACAGAGAGAGAGGGATTAAAGCTACAGAGGGAGAGAGAGGGCATGTCAGGGAGTAAAGAAGGTTAATGAGACTTTGTGTTGCGAACGCTGTGAGCATGGCGGGACTACAGGCAGGCCTTTGTGGCTTTTTGGTGTGAGCTCATCATCCATGTCACTCATTGTTTGGCCGAAAACAAACAACCCCACACGCCTGGCTACTCCTGGGAGGCTGAGGCTAGGCTGGCTCTGTCCAGACTTAACACCACCACAATGACCAGAAGCAAGAACATGGCACAGGTTCTCACTTTTTCTCACACTTTTTCTTACAGTAGATTGTCATAGTTATTGCACTAATGGAAGATGCTCTCCAAAGTCTTGTAATAGTGATTCCATGTTATTCACATTATGTATGTTATTCTGCACAGCGTGCTAGAGTAATCTTGCAAGGCAGCTAGACTGCAAAATCATTAGATCATGGGAGAATTCATCTTACCAGGCTGCATTTGAGCCAAACTACAGTGGTTATATACCAGTTGGTCTTTTGGTAAAGTACTGGCCGCTACAAGGGTGCGTGTAAGGTTTAACGCAGCAAGAAGCGACTGTTAAACCACAATGCCGCCGGCTAAAGAGGTTAGCGTAGATGCTGCTATAGCAGGAAAATATAGCCAAGAGATGGCACTGCAGGCTTTTCTCTATGGACAATATGTTTTCGCTCTTATTCTGACTGAGTTTGGTAAGAATTTGATTACATTTCATTCATTTATCCAATTGGTTAAAGATAGATGTGATAGACAGATGGTTCATCCAATCAACTGGCAAGTGTCTGCCCTTTTTCAACAGTTTCCAATGACGATTTCCCAGATGTTTATTATTATTAGACTATTTGATCAATCGATCAGTGAACTAGTTGGTCTATAAAACCCCAGAGAACAGTGAAAAACATCCATCATAGTTTACAAAAGACAAATGTCATTAAATGTCTTCTTTTGAACAACCAATCGTCAAAACCCAAAGAGACTCATCTTTCTGTAATGTAAGATAAGGCAAAGCAGCAAATTCCAAATTTGAGAAACTTGAATGTTTGACATTTTTCCTTGATTTCTGATTGGGTAATTTCACATTAAATCCTAGCTAAGCTAAACTAACTAAAAAGAAAAGGGCCATAGTCACCTGAGTCACAAAAAAGCCACTTTACATATATATATATATTAAGTCAATTTATAATTTTAATTTAATTTTGGTATTTGGGTGCAACTTGCAAAAATTGACAGCCAGCTTCTAACAATTCAAGTTACGATTACTGTATAAATTGCAAACCTCCAGAGCTCTTTTGTTGCAGGAAAGTCTTTCAAGCCACCTTTGAGACAATGATTTGAGACAACTGTGGTTTACACTGGCACTTAATCATTCAGAATAGGATAACAGACGTTTACAGCAGACACTGCTGGTTTAATTTTGATTGTTATGAAATGTTTGAGTCATTTTAAAATGAGGAAGCGTAACTATCCAACTTTTCTAGCAGTCACTGTTTGATATGTAGACATGGCACAAGCTGAACGGAAAACTGCCAACAGTTGCTGCCATGGCAACATGATCAAACAATGACAGCCAGTCTTAAGCAGCTCCAGTCTGTTGCGGTTTATAGGCTTTAATTGTATAATTTAAGTCTGATATAGATGGTATTGTTCTGATCAAGGAGGGTCTGAAAGTGGACTATTAAGAAGTAATATGGTGTATCTGAAATTACAGTTTATTAATACCAATAAATATTCTGTCAAACACAATGAACATTACAAATATTAATACTGACTATGTTGCATGCCATGTCTGCTCTAGACAGACAACTGTGTATAGATAGCTAGCTTTATAGATGGAAGTTTGAATGAATGGAAAGAGAGATGGACAGATAAGCAGACTGACTAATTGACTGACTGATCAGCTTGTTTATCTATTATAGCTTACCAAGAAATTCCAGTCAGTGTTGATGCGGTCTGCCAGGCCAGTGATGAGGAGCGTGAGGTAGGCGGAGGAGAGGAAGAAGGTGGTGACTGAGACAAACATCACCCAACCCTGCAGCAGAGGCACGGGCACATTGGAGGAAGCCACCAGGATCCATACTAGAGCGCCAAATAACTGAGGATATAAACAAACACTAGTTGCAGTTTATTTTATTCTAAATGCTAAACCCTTGCTCAGCTCCTTAATCTTCTAGGCTGCTCTGGTCCATTTAATCACTCATTATATTTATGACACACTAGGAAGACATCAGGTTTAGCAACTCTACATATGTAAACTGGTGTTGTACCTCTTCATAGATACTTTTCTAAAACCTCCTGATCTCATACCAGCGCTCTCAGTTTGCCAAATTTAAAATCCATACACCTCACTCAGTGGAACGCATTGGAATATTTATTTTTATGTAAGGTAACCAGGAATAGCCATGGTGCTAAAAACTGAGTAATGGTCCCACTGAATGTGTGACTGAATGGATTTTATAATGACACTGAAACTGTATTAAATGTGGATCAGTCACATCTACTCTGGTGCATCCTTAATTGTGAGGTATATTTGCATAATCTCTAAATGTTGCTTATAATATTTAAATGTTGTCTCAAAGCAACCTGTTATTTTATCTCCAGAGCTCCCCTATGTATTGCCCAGTGCTTCTGTTATTGCAAGGCCATATGGACAAAATACACTGTTGACAGAAGTGATGACTGAGTTATCTTTTATATGATTTATTATGGACAAAGGGGCAAACAAAGGTAACATAATTGATTAACACACTAAACAAGATGGTGGTATGGAAAGACTATGGAACTTTAGGTTATCTACTGTTAGTTACTAACAGATATAATAGATATAACATGTAAATGCTGATAACAGCCCCAGCTCATTTATATGACTTCATCAGAAGGCCTGTCTGTTCAGGCCTTTAGCTGCAAACAGGCCTATAGATAAGTAGTCATATATTCCTAAACGTTAAGGTAGGTATGTAAAGGCACAAAGAGAAAATAAAACTGGCACTTTTTAATTTCAGGATTCTTATTTTATTTTAAAGGAGCTGGTGCACATGATTTGTTATTTTACATGTCTGCTCTGGTCTGTATAAGAAACAAGTGTTTAACCAGTCTTGCCACATCGCTTGAGGCGACATTTGCCCTTGCTTTGGCTGTCAAATGTAAGTAATAAACTCAGTCCCCGGCAATCACAGAGTCACCTGTGTTGGAGACGTTTGAACACTGCAGACCAAAGAGCAAACAGCGTGTTACAGCCCACAGATTCAGGTCTAAGTGGACAAACAGGTCATCAATTATTAATAAAGAAATATGAACAGAGAACACCACAGTGGTCACTCATACATTTAGGAATATATATCATACAGTTGAATATCATTAATAACCCTCTAAAAAGTGGCACTTACTATTTCTAAACAGACAAGGGCTCCAGAGTAAGTTCTCAATACTTCCAGTCCCAAAGGTAGAGAAATAGTTGGCGCTGGGAACGAGGTGGCAGCGGGATTAGTGGCTGGTTCCGACATCTCTATATCTCCCTCTCTCTTCTCTCTGTCTCCCCCTCTCTTCTGACTCTCACCCTCCGTCTCCCACTAAAAGAGACTCCGTTAGACAAAGGACGGGAGCAGCGGGGGAAAATTCCTCCGGAGTCATGTGTCCCCCAAACAGGTCGGACAGGTGCAAGGGCCACTCCCTGGAAACCTATGCTGCATTCAGGGACCTCACGGAAGCTCCTACTTCCAGATATCCAGTGTGTAAAGCTCTGTCAGTTTGAGGAAAACAAACGACTTTGATGCAGCAGATTACATTGAGCCCACAGACTTCCTCAAGATCATAATCCAAGGGCAAATATGTAATTAAATTTAAATCTAATTAAATTAAATCGTTTAGATCAAGCCTATATGTGCAATATTGGCAAGATGAAGACAATAAAATGGGGATGAGTCATATCAGCTTTTAATTCATTTATTAGTAGGAGTAGCCATCACCCATAATGAATGACAACAACATGCATTTTCTTCATGACATTTGAACACCTGTATCCATATATGGTTATTAATTGTTATAACATGGTAATAAATTTGGTTTGGGAATCATACATCGGCAGTTTGCATCAGACATTGGTATGGTAGTATCAAGTGGTGTATCGGCCATCGAGAGTATCAGTTCTGGCTAATAAATCCAGGGCTGAATTTCTTTCCCAATACACCCATGATGTAGGCATATGTCATAAAAGGCTTCAGGGTATCTTTACAACCATTAAACACCGTAGACGGATCTCTCCTTTACTCCTCCAGTTGTTGACATAGATTTTTAGGCTGTCCACACCCTAAATGTCAGTTCTTGATAACTCTACAATAATTCACGTTGTAAAGGTATGTGCTCATCTTGCACTTATTCCAACACCAACTGAAGGCAACAAACTTACTCTGACTTTGTCCTCTGTTAGAGCTCTTGGCTCTCTCTGTGTGAACAGCCACCAGTAGACACCTCAGCTCAGAAACATTAATGAGAGGGAAAATCAAATAGTTGGAGTCATGACTAGACCCTACTGATTTATTTAACTATGTTATGAAAGAAATGAGGGCTGAGAAAGCCTTCCCCAAGTTGTTTGAAAGGTAAATATTAGTTTAAGAGTTAGAGTAACAGCTGAGGAGAGAGGAGAACTGATTTCCAAACTGACTTGGTGTTACATCGGTTGGTAGGAGCAGTTTCTAATGGTAAGCCACAGTTAATGTTTAGCTAGGACTTGGTTTATGTGAACCAATGTTGACATAACCCCTTGAAGGGCACGGGCTTTGTTCAGTTTAGTGTAGCTGGCAGTGAGAATCAATACAACCTGTATAGTGGTGGAGTACTTAAATAGTCTAATCTAAGGTACTTGTACTTTACTTCAGTCTTTTCTTTTCATTCCACTTTCTACTTCTACTCCATTACATCTCAGAGGGAAATGCTGTACTTAATAAACATTTATCTGACATAGTTAGCCTACAGTTACCTTACAAATTAAGATTTTTTACATACACAACATATGAAAAGCTTAGAAATATGATTCTTATTTTGAAAGCACTTAATATAGAACAGTTTTACAGTGTAACTTTCCATCATTTATAATGTATTAATTCCAGAACTTATGGTGTAACTTCCTCCTAAGAATCTGTATATCTATGAATATGTATGTATACAAGCTACTGGTTGTGCAATATGGCCAAGACCAAGAAAGTCAGGAAGGGTTTTTTAAGTTACGTTACAACCTTCATATGGAATCTTTAAAGCACAAGTTATAATAATATAATACATAATAGTATAAAAGTCACAGAGGCCATTTTTCTGCATTGAGTAATTTTACTTTTAATACTTTGGTACCCTTTTTCTGATTACACTTACTACTATGCAGGACTAATTACCTTTTACAAAGTATTTTTACAGTGTGGTATTAGTATTTCTTTACTTTCTCCACCACTGTCTAAGACCATATAATGATCATGTGATGTAAAACAATTGTTTTAGTCCAGCACTGCAGACATTTTTTTAATGTCTGATTGTTTTCTAAGGATCAAGGAAATGGGTGAGAAAGGACACATTTTCAGAAGCAAAGACAGTATTTGACCCTGTTCTCTGTAGTTGAAAAGACATGTATTCCAGTGAGTCTTTGAAGGCCTCACTGTCATCTATGGAACAGCAAGAAGAGATTAATCTTCTTTCTGACTATACTGTTGATTCTTTTTTAAAGTATTTTTTTTGGGGGGCGGGGGGGCTTTTTATTGCCTTTATGATAGAGACAGCTGAAGATAGACAGGAAAGGGGGACAGAGAGAGGGGATGACATGCAGCAAAGTTGGATTCAAACCCTGGGCCACTGCAGCAAAGGCTCAGCCTCGATACATGGGTATATAGATGTTGATTCTTAAGCTTTATTCAATGCAGCAAATTTCTAACTGTAAGATTTAAATATTGAAATGATGAAATATACAATCCACTTTAATACAATTCTAATTAGTTTTATTTTTCAAATAGACCAGTAAACACATACAATGACATGACCTTTTTAACATAAAATACACACATCAGGGTCTCCCTGATAGCTCACCTGATATAGCTGGTGCCCCAAGTCCTTGCTGCAGCAGCCATGGGTTTGAGTCTGACCTATGGCTCTTTGCTGCTTGCCATTCCCTCTCTCAGCCCACTTTCCTGTCAATCTTCAGCTGTCCTATCTAATAAAAGCAAAAAGCCCCCCAAAACACACACACACACACACACACACACACACACACACACACACACACACACACACACACACACACACACACACACACATATTGTCATACCTGCAATCAGAGCACATAACTCTAATAATAAATGGAATATGAACTGTGTGCTGTTGATTTTTATGAATATGAATATGATTAACATCATAACTTCAACTGTGTTTACACACAAAATAAGTAAGGCCTACAAAATAGACTGATTTTACTTAACAAGCTTTTCTGTCAAAATAAAAGTCAAACATCAGATAGCAAATAATTTAAAATAGATTTGTTTTTACCACACACTCACACATGATCCATTCCGAGAAGTTTGTGACACACTATTGTGCCTGTCTGTTATCTTATATATGTCCAGAAGACATCAACATTAACTGAGAGACAAACCGAAATGGCTGCCCACAGAACCTTAATGTTCACACACCCATGAAAAAGTTTCATCACAAGGTGCGTCATTCCATGCCGCTGTGAAACGCGAGAACTCGACACAGTCTTCGATTCCACCATTATTATTCAGCTCCCCATCTTCCCAGAATCGTGTACCTTCCAGGTTAGTTCCATTCACCCACTTCCACTCATCTTGCTGCTCCCCGCGAGACAGACCGATCCAGGTTACGCTAGAACTTCTCTTGACAAACTCCAGCTCAGCTTTTGTGGTTATAATCACAAGGTCCGCTTCTCTCTCTTGACAATCTTTTCTGCTCTCTTCCCAGGTTTTACTCTCTCCCGCAGCAGAGAGATAGCAGCACTTGTTGTTGAATTGTATCCATCCTTGGTGGCAAGGTTTATCTGGAGAAAGCACCAATGTTAAAAATTAAGTTATGTTATTTACAACAACTCAAAATGGTACTTCTACCTGGCTAAACCACTAGTCCTCAAGCACATGCCTGATGTAAACACCCCAAATCATATAACCAAAGAGAGACTCCTGTTTAACATTAAACAGAAAGTACAGGAATATTTAGACCAATTGGATCCATCGATAATCAAGCCTTGTTCTTGCATTGCTGATGAGAAAGACGAGCAAAAAAAAACTTTATTAATTGCCTGAAATGATGCCGTAATAAGTATGATTACCCTGACCCTTGTGTTCAATGGAAGACTTGCATGCATTTTATCACCCACCAAAGTCTGTTGATGTTTGATAGTGTTCCTGTACTTATTTAAGCAGTAAATCCAAATCAAAGAAGACCTTCTATTCAAGGTTCAGTTTCTTGCTTAAGTACATGTCTTACCTGTTCTGTTGAGATTGTATCTATTGAGCTCTTCTTGTAACTTATCTCGACCTGCAGCCACAGTATCGTATTGGCTCTGCAGAACTTCCATCTCTTTTGCCAGATTGCTGGAATACATCTTCAGTTGATCTCGCTCATCTTTCAGTTCGTCTCTGCTTTTAGTGATCTCATTAATCAGGTTTGCATATTTCTTGTCCTAGTGACTGATAGTATTGGTATCTGCAACAAGTTTATTTAGAATAACTGAAAAACCATGAAAATTATCAAGTGACCACTTCTCAATAGAGCGAAACTTAATGCATTTTAGTGATTCATTGTCACAAGATTAAATTGAGATTAAGTTACATTGACTATTCAGATTTTAAAAGTTATCTTAGACTTTATAACCAACACTAATTTCTGCACTCGATTTTGCTGTTTAATTATGTTCACTGTTGAGGTAGAATTGCACTTACTGTGGGACACCAGGATCACAGTCAGCAGAAGAAGCCCCAGACACAATGCAGAAGCTCCAATCCAACACACTGAAGCACAAATTATCATCATAAGGGCAGTGTTTCTCCAATGTGGGTACACGTACCCCGAGGGGTACTTTGGTGTACCGCAGGGGGTTCTTCAAATTGTCTTTGAAATGTTAATTTAAAATTATTTAAATTAAATCATTTATCATACATGCATACTTTCTCAAAATAATTATATTTTAATAAATCAAATAAAAAAGTTTGAGAAACCACATTTCACTGAAGTTGCCCTGCCACTGAGAATGACAGAATACCCTCAGTGAAGCTCAAGCTCATGTTTCTCACTGAATTGTTTGCCGTAAATTTTGTGATGGATTTTAAATCTACACTTAAAAAGTAGTTCAGTTAATAGACCAGACAGTGATGGCACAGCATTGTATTGTATCTCTTTATATAGGAATTTATTTTCTACCAAAAATGTTATGCGTTGGTCAGGGAATACTTGGCTATATATATATACGTATATATATATACGTATATATATATTTCAAAGGGGATACACTGATAAAAGAAGTCTGAGAACCACTGAAATGAGGCAGTGGAAACCACAAATAAGCAATGCAGATGTGAAAATTAAATGGC